TGCTTTCGGAGTGCGGAACGCTGGGATACGTCGAACTTCAACGGTGTGATATTTATACTAGAAGAGATGTGGGCGTGTCACTGTGTAGTAATTTGGGAACTGCATTTCGGCTATTATGCACACGTCGCGCAGAGTTCCTCAAGTGAATAGCCGCGGCGGCGATTGTACTCGCCCTAATTTGACCAACTTCGCTTCGTAGCGCCACGATCGGCTCATAGGACTTGAAACGTTGAATGGAGGCGAACCGGTCAGACCGTTGTCTGGCCCAGATGAAGGGTTTCATCCAAAGTGGAAGCAATTGTGTCTGGTGTGTTCGCTCCTGACTAAGCAAGCATCTGAAGTGCACGTAGTTTTTTGTGCGGTTTCTGAAAAAATGGCGGCAATTAGAGAATCGAAAAACATCCCCGCAAGGACATTTCTTGTAGAAGGACAACTTTAAACAGAAAAACTACCTTTCTTACCTTTGGTGCTTCAACAAGTTTCACTTAGCCTCGATTCCACGATTCTTGAGGACAGAATTCACGATGAAAAAGCAACCCATTTCAAATTTTAGGGATGGTGAGTGGTACACGAAAGAAGGAAGAACCATGAGAAACGGCCCAGAACCCGAGAAATGGGACCCCTTCCTGTCATCGTCCCTCTCCAACGCTGTCGCTGTCTCTGCTATGTCAGTGGGCGTTCCGCGCCAACTGCGCCAAGTGAGCCATGCTAGATCGCCGAGGTCAAATCTTTCGCTGCCAATTGCGCGTCGGTCCGCACCCTCAGGAGGTCCGCCTGTCTCCCACTAGGCAATTTTCCCTTCTTTGACCTTCGTTCCTTCGAAATCGTCCTTCGAATACCGCTAGTGGCTTGCCTCAGAATCCCTTTCGCTACTGATTGGGTTTGAATTTTGCACAGTCCCTAGTAAATACGGTTGCACCAGCCGCACAAGCGATTGACCACAACTGATCGCAATAAGATTGACTTCTGGATCGGATCCGGCAAGCCTTCCATACATTAAATTTGATCTGGGCTTGTTTGCGAGTCGAACTTAGCTCTTACTCAGGCTGTATACTGTCCGGCTCAGCGAATCTCTTCACATTTGCATTCGAGAACCCAAAAATTCACCTAGCGAATCGAATGCGTGGCGCATGCCGGAGTGATTATAGAACAGAAAAACCTCTATTATAAAACAATCAAATGGTTCGGGCGTCTTCCTCGACGACCTTATTTTCCTCAATCGCGAGAGCTCCGCAGTAGTGGGATTGGCAAATAAGCACAGGGAAAGACAGATAACTTGGTAGACGCCCCCCCCCCCCTTACCCCAAAATGTATTGCTAAGACTCATGATTCATGGTACAGCTAGTGATGAAAAGCTGTCGCCAAATCTGCTGTTTTTACTTGATACAGATCACCGACTTCTACATGTTAAGGATAACGAGCTTCAGGGAAAGGGTAAACAACAGTAGATGAATCTTTTGCGTGGACTTATTTAACTCAGAGATGATGGGGTGAGGGGGAGGCGAGGAGCGTTCGAGGCGTAGGAGTTTGTAAGAAGGCGACATAACTGCACTCAGTTCTTACTACAAACGAACATTGAAATAGTAGCGTTTATATAGCACTTGCTTAAATTTAGTGCATCTGAACCTATTTGCCTACATTTAACTCGAACTTAGGCAGGGTAAAAAGAGGTCGTAGTGAAACATTTGTTGGAGAGGAAGATTTGGGGGGGGGGGAGGGGTGGCGGTGGGTGGGCGGCAGTACCGATGAGGGGTTTCTTCGACGCGATGTTTACAGCATTGATGAGTTCCGATTAAGAGCTACAAATCAACGATCCCCCCAATGCGTCCCCGGTGCAGTGGAATAGTGGCCAAGTGGCACGCTTAACACAAGCGCGTATGGGGATCGGATCTGGCTTGCTGGCTCCGTCCGGCCAAATAAGCCTCCACCCCCAGCTCGGCAAGTGTACGTTTTCTAGGGGGATAAATAGTTTCTGAGTTGTAACGTTCATAGTAGCCCCGCAAGTCATTGGTAGGCAATTCATCACCCTTACATACAAATGTCGCAATGAAAAGTAGAAGCGTACGATTCCAGAAAGAGATTGATTAATGGGCGAATACCTTCCCCTTTTGTATCCCTGACTCGGTCACAGTATGCGAGACGTTCGTCAATTGGTTGGCATTCATGTGATGTACCATCCCTTCAAACGACCAGAATTTGTGCAATTGCAAAAATGAGTGCATAACTGGTATTCGATCAAGTAATCTTGAGACACGTGACGTATCTTTTTAGTGAGAAATTGCACGGTGCAGTGGATTTCTGGCTGCATGAAACAGAGTGTACAATGCATCTTCTAATGATACAGCCACCTACATATTTTCAAAAGTGTTTCTTTTTTTTCGCAGAAATAGTGGAATGTCTACGGGAGCGATCATATTTTTGAGAGTATATTTTTTCCCGTTCTAGAAGGGGGGGAAGGAGATGTTGGAACATAAAATAATTCACGGGGACTTGTCCGCAAAGACGAGGGGATGCGGGTTTGAGTCCCGTCTGCGGCGAAAGTTTTGTTCACAACCCAGCATTCTTGTAAAAAATTCACAGGATATTTCCTGATTTTATTGGGCGAAAGTTTTGTTCCACCAGATTATGCTTAGTGACGTCGTAAGGCGAGTGCGGTGAAAGCAGCAGTGACGAATAAAAAAATCGAAGTTATTACGAGCTTTAGAAAGCTGCAACACGTTCTAGACGTGTGAGTGCTGAAAGCTATGGTACGTATACCATGAAAAGCTGAGTTGGAATGAAATGGTGCCCCGGTAGCGTAACTGGTAGCGCACTTGCCCGGAAAGCGAGAGGTGCGGGTTCTAGTCCCGCCTGGGGCGAAAGTTTTGTTCACAACCCAGCATTCTTGTGAAACATTCTACGGAATCTCTGAGCTTGAATTCGTCCGACTTCGAAAAATGAGACTTGATGTGGTGGAAGAGGTATGTGTATCGGGTAGGAAGGATAAGCAATGAGGGTTGAAGATCACAAAGCTTCAGAGGTATGTCTCCCTATCCTGAGACGAGGGCCGCATGTCATGTTAATGACCTCCGGAAACCACAACTACATTGAAGTGACTCTGAGCATCAAAGTCTAAAGAGCTCTGCCCTGCAATCCATTGCCTGCAGTTCGCTTTCTATCCGATTCCTGAAAAAATGACACTGGAATTACTTCAGGCGAACGACTCGCTAGTAACTTTTGCAATGATGGTGCGCCACATTCTGGAAGTGGTTTGTCAATAGTCCATTCCCTATGGCACTTCAACCCAGTATAAGACGGACTTGAGAGCATGCTGGCGTATTAAGACTCTAGTGACCTGATGGAAAAGTAGAGCGCTTTGTGGGGAAAAGGTTAAGGATAAATGAATTTAGCCAGTTTGACCAATCTCTTTGGATGCGGCACCATTTACTTCATTTGTAATTCGTGTGGCTCTTGGATATCAATGACTGCCGGGGCAGAGCGATGTACAAGTCGATGTTTTATCGCATCAAGTCTGGTACCAATTAACCGCCGGAGGGATGGAAGGCTTGGTTGGCCCGGGCGACTCACGACCCAGGATTTGATCCCCGGACCGCGCGCGTGGTAAGTGTGTCACTTGCCACTACACCACTGTAGCCC